AAGTGCTGGAAGCTAATAGGAGACAACTCTGAAACACTCTGAACTACATTCTCCTGAGTACTAAACTCAGTGTTCACAGGAGAGTTTAATAGCCTAAAGCCAAAAGGGCCCATTAGCTCATGTGGGTTGATCTCTAGTACATCATAGACCATTATGTTTCACCCGTTTATCCTTTTATTGAGCCCAGTAACTTGGATTAGACTGAAGTATTTTGAGCCCTGTAACAGAAAAATTAATTTGGCTGAGCCATTCTAGCAGTCAACCTATGCTTAGAGCTTCACAGAAGGGTGAAAATCCAGGAGCAGCATCTTGTCTGTCTGACCTGGCCGTCTGTTTCCCTGTGTAAGACAAGTAGTGGGGATAACTCCCAGGCACAAGTGAATTCTTAGCACTCTGCTAAGCCCTGTGGAATGCGTGCAGTGGCCAGCACTGATATTTCAGAGACAAGTAGGAGAAAAAGGAGAATGTATCTTACTATGTATACTGAAGCTCACTTTACTTTCTGGTCCCTACAAACTCTTGGTTGAAGTCATGATGTTTATTGGTTAATAGCATGTTAGAGGTGAGAACAGTGTTGAAATATGTTGTGTGGCTAGAAGGGAGATCATCATGGAATTTAACACTAAAAATCTGCCTGTACTTCGGCTATCATTGAACCGTTGCTAGTGGTACTCTTAATTCTATTAAGAATAGAATCTTTAAACATGGGATCATAGAATCATTGAGGTTGGAAAAGACCTTTAATATTGAGTATAACCACTAACATAGCCAACTGCCAAGGCCACCACTAAATCGTATCCCTAAGCACCACATCTATACATCTTTTAAATACCTCCAGGGATGGTGACTCCATTGTTTCCCTGGGCATTCTGTTCCAATGCCTGATCACACTTTCAGTGGAGAAATTTTTCCTAATATCCGATCTAAACCTTCCCTGGCACAGGCCATTTCTTCTTGTCCTATCACTTGTTACTTGGGAGAAGAGACTGACCCCCACCTCACTACAACCTCCTTTCAGGTAGTTGTAGAGAGCGATAAGGTCTCCCCTCAGTCTCCTTTGCTTCAGGCTAAAAAATCCCAGTTCCCTCTGCAGCTCCTTATGGGACTTGTGCTCCAGACCCCTCACCAGCTCCCTTCCCCTTCTCTGGACCTGCTCCAGCGCCTCAACGTCTCTCTTGCACTTGAGGGGCCCAGAACTGAACACAGGATTCGAGGTGCAGCCTCACCGGTGCTGAGTACAGGGGGATGATCACTGCCCTGGCCCTGCTGGACACACTATTGCTGACACAAGCCAGGATGCTGTTGGCTTTCTTGGCTGCCTGTGGCCTGTACAGGACATCCAGGTGGTGGGCCCTGGTCAGCATGGGTTTATGAAAGGCAGGTCCTGCTTAACAAACCATTGCAGCACTACAGCTGTGTGAGTCATCCCACCACATTTCTCTGATGGCAACTATGTCATAGTTTCGTGCTGTGCAATGGCTTCCAGCTCCTCCTGTTTGTTGCCCATGCTGGTGCATTGGGCTATTGATCCTGCCACCTTTCTGGGGGAGAAAAAACCCGAATTCCTACAGGACTATTGTCAGGTGCTTCTGTGGTTTCTAACATATCAATAACCCTTTTGTCTTTGCTGCTGCATGGACCTCCATCCCCTACTGCCCCACACCAATTGATTTTACCTCTAGCGAGCCTGGTTTTATCCCTTTCCACCTTCAAATCTAGTTCAAATTCTTCCAATGAGCTCTGCTAACTCCTGTGCAAAGATGCTTTTCCCCCTTTGAGGCAGGTGCACTCTGCCTGTCACCAGATCTGCTGTCATGTAAACTCACCCAGGAGCAGAAATACCAAATTTCTGCTAGTGACACCAGCAGAATTGATCTGCTGGCTCTTCCTGTTTCTTCCCTCATCCTTCCCTGCAACTGAAAGGACAGAGAACAGTACTTGTGCCCTCGATCTCTTAACTAGTTGTTCCAAGGCCCTGAAGTCTCTCTTGATAGCCCTTGGACTTGTTGCAACTTCATCGCTACCCACCTGAAAAATCAATAATAGACAATAATCTGAGGGCTGTACCAGGGTAGGGAAATTTTCTCTTCGCATCTTTAACCTGGCCCCCAGGGAGGCAACAAACTTCCATAGGGAATGGATCTGGTCTGCATATTGGGCCTTTTGTTCCCTTCAGAAGGGATACTCCCATTGGCAATGTCCTACCTTTTCTTTATAGAAGCAGTTTTGATGCAGGGCCTAGGCTGACTTAACCTCAGTGACATCTCCATGCTGGATGAACCATGGTTGTTGTTACCGTTTGCTTCCACTTGCAGAGTCCACCGCAGGAATCTCCCTTTTGCAGGGCTCCTGGGCAGGTGGGGCAGTCAGAGAGGAGACATCCCTGCTGTGCTGGGCAGGAACTTGTCACCATTGCCCCCATCCCTTAAGTCACTAGGTTCAGCTAGGTGGAGAGTGGGTCCAATGGTCCCACCAGAGCTCTGCCTGGGAAGCTACATCAGCCATGGTGGGTACAGAGCTTAGTGAGGCCATGGCTTTCTGTTGGGTGGATACCATTGCTCCCTCGTTGAGCTGGCAGGGCTTCAGTGCCCTTACAGTATGCCCTTACAGTGTACATACCCTTCTGTCCAAACTGCCCTTGCTGGTGAGCCATGCCCTGGTTGCCTGCCCTGGTCACTAGTACTCACTGAGAGCTTCTTTCATATGTGCACTTAAATCTTATTAAAGCCATGGGGATGTAAGTATAAGCCCAAAAATATATATATACGGGGAAGTGATAACCTGAATTCAGACCACAGCCTCTCTTTCTGCTTTAGGCTTTGGTGGTATAAGGTAGTGCAATGCATTACTATTAAAGGTATTTGCAGTAAGAATATAAAGCTTGATGCACCTTGCTAGAAATTAGCCTCTTTGGTTTCAGAGGAGGTGTTTTCTGCTGATTACTTTAAGAAATGCTAGCAAATGGAACAGGATTCTTTTTTTCTTCCTTCCTTCTGTGCTTTTATTTTGAATCTTGGCTCTGTGTCCTTGTCTGCTAGTCTATATAAATCTCTTGTCTGGGCAGGTATCTGATAACTTAAAGATTATTTTCTGACAAATAAGCGTTTTCCATTTTCTTGCCAATGCTTCTAATCCATGAAAGTGGCTGAAGAAAAAGGGATATGAAAACCTTTAAGAAGGCAAGGTTATGGTTTGGGGCTTTTTTTAAAGCTCTTTGCACACTAGCTGTCTTTTTTTTAAATACTATTCTTGGTTTGAAACTTTAATTCTGGGCGTACATTTGGTGCCCAGATGGTGCAGACTCACACAGAAGCCCATCACGCTGTCAGGGCAGGCGGATACATATGTAAATATTTTGCCTTTTTTCCCTATAATATTTGGCTTTGTCTAATCTAATTGCTGTCAAAGGCAGAATGTGAAGAATACTTAAGAGGAGCAAACAATGAGGACCTCAAATGTTTGTATTGCACTAACTTTGGAAGATGCTAGTAGACTGCCATGTAACTAATAATTTTGTTTCCTGGGATTTCTTACTCGTGCTGTGAATTCATGGTGTATGATCTAAGTTCATGCCAAGTAGTGCTTTACAAACTGAGGCATAAATATGTATTTCTAGTGGCATAAAAGCATATTTAACCCCTTGGAGCTGTCAATATAAGGCTAATGGCTCTGCCATTTCAGTTAAGGCTGACTGTAAGTGTTCTCTACCTGCCTTTTGGTGTATAGCACTCTTTCTTAGTTATATAATTCATTGCTTCATTTAATTATTCTATTGAGTGCCTGTCAATGTATTTTTAATACCTAAAAGCATTTCCAGCATAGCTGCTTCTCTGACCAGTGGTAGCTAGTAGCAAACAGTGTGGCCAACCACATTAAGGATACTTATTTAGTTAATAAAGGCCTGATTCAAAAATACCATAATATTAATGGAAAAAACTTTCATGAGCTTTGAATCTGACTTCTTAGTGAGAACGTCTAATAAAAGTGAAGTTAATTGAGGGTGCTGGGAAAAGAGATAGAGGAAACATTGCTGTTTTTCATCAATGCAAGAATGGTTACACTATCACATGTATCTAATCAGATGAGAAATTTGGCTGGGTTATAATTCATGGAAAGCATCAGGCTATGCCAGAGCCATTCCTCTAAGGACACTGACTATGCAGAGAGGTGTCAGGAGATCAGGGCCTGGAGCTGTGGTTATTGTAGAAGAAGAAAAGTGGCTGTAAAAAGAGAATGTAATAATGTGACCAGAAGACAAACAGAAGCAGCTTGTGATGCTTTTTTCCATGGAACGTGAATGAAATCCTGACTGGTGGGGGGGTGTGTGTGTGTGTGGGGGGAATTTCCCATTTCAGCTATTCATGATGTTAGCTGAGGTCATTATTCAGGGATGCCAATAAATTCTGTTTCTGAGCCTGCTATGAAAGTGCCTGCGTACCTTCAAGAGACCATAATCTGTTACATATCCTTCTGCTTGTCTTGCTGCTTGGCTGTGGGGTGGAGGGAGATCAGGAAAATTGCTCACTATCTATATGTATTATTTTACCTGTGCTGTTTTTTGTTACTGAAGGAAAGATCGAAGATGCTTGCTTTGTGCATCTCCTGGAGCATAGGCACTGAGACACGTTACTGCACAATAAACTAAGATGTGCATTTGCTGTTTCTGCACAGTAAATGCTGGTATGACTGCTACTAGCTCATGGTTCAGAGAAAAGAAATAAAAGGAGGGTGTAATTTGCCACATATATATATATCTCTATATCTGATGGTGAAAGCAGACACTTTGGCAGCTACTGTGTGCCTTCGGTGTATTGTGAGTTTGGATGTGAGTTTACCATATAGGTAGCTTGTGCTTGTCATTGGCCAAAGATAGTGTTGGTTGTCACAGTGGCTTGATTGCATGGATTGCTTTGCTCCAAGCCTTTGCTGTTTGTCTACAGTTCTGAGGACATGTTGCATTAATTTAACAGCACTTTCTGTTCTGCATTTTGCCCTTACAGGAGCAATTGAGCGGTGCACATACATCAAGTACCACTACTCCTCAGCGACCATTCCCAAGAACCTTACCTACAACATCACCAAGACAATCCGCCAGGATGAGTGGCATGCCTTGCGTAAGTGGTGCTGGCTTTCTTCTACATTCGCCTCACGTATGGACTAAGGGAGGCACTCACTGATAAATGAGAACAGAGGCTTTGACTGACAACCCACTCGGAGCCCTCTTCTCACATACAGTTTGTCTTTGTAGCAGGCTGATCGATTTGTTCTTAGGACCTACATCTCTGTTTCTGCTGCTGGCTAGAAATTCTGCTGAGGCATGAGAAAGTGGTGGTGGGGAAGAAGCATTTGTATGCAGCAATTTAATATTGAGTTAAATGCAAAAATGAATAATAAAATCAATGCCCTATTTTTTAATTCAGTAGAATACTTTGTACGTGAGTGTATTCTCATGCAGTTCATGCTGCTGGTGAGTTTCCAGCTTCCAGGAGAACTTACTGCTGGCTCTTATTGTAGAGTATGTCCTGCTGCCAGCAGCTCCTGGGTGTTGCATCACTCTCCTTTGAAGACCTAGAAAGAGAAATGCTGCATCCTTTAAGCACAGGTGATACTTGTAGCCAGTGGTCACCAACTTGTAACATTTGCTGAAGCAACAAGATCTGACAGGGCTGGAATTGCCTTGGGATGTATTGGCTGGCCTTAAAGCTTTTCTCCTTTTTATCTTGGAATGACGGAGCTGACTTGATAATTTTTGATTTTATCTTTTTTCTTTGTTTGACATTTTCAAGATGAAACCTTTGCTCCAAATTCATTGCCTATGACAGTCACCAACTTGTAACATTTGCTGAAGCAACAAGATCTGACAGGGCTGGAATTGCCTTGGGATGTATTGGCTGGCCTTAAAGCTTTTCTCCTTTTTATCTTGGAATGACGGAGCTGACTTGATAATTTTTGATTTTATCTTTTTTCTTTGTTTGACATTTTCAAGATGAAACCTTTGCTCCAAATTCATTGCCTATGACAGCATGAGATGGGGAAATATGACTTCACTTCCCAGCAATCACTTCCTTTTAACTATCTGCAGTTAAACAGGGATGAAGGGAAGGATGGTTGTAGTATTGCAAGCTCTTGCCTGTAAGCCCGTAAAAGTTGTTCTGATTAGACAAAATAAGTGCCTATATGAGATGGGATGGAAGGGAGAAGGGAAGCAAAGCTGTGTCTGACAACTTTGAGCATTGGTAACTGTCTCTTTATGGAAGATGCCAGTGTAATAATATGATTGAGTCACTATTAGGCATTTACCCTGTGACATTTTGGCCCCAGCTTTGTGCACAGAAACTTGACCCATAGTTCTGGCTTCTGAAAAAATGCAGCAGCATCACTGATGCTTTTTAGAGATGGTATATATTATTTGAGTAGAAATCCAAGAAAATCTGAACAGTTCTATATTTATTCACATATTCAGTTCCATCTGGTTTATGCTGTTCTTGTAGTTTCACTTTTAGTAGACTACACATTTGTGTTCACAAAACATGGTGAAAGTGATTATGGCAGGGTTTTGTGCTGTAAAATATGGTACAGTGGTTTGGAGGGGTGAGAAGCGTTTCCAGGTGACGGAATAAGCACTTTAACTGCATGATTGTACTATAAGAAACCTGACCATAAAAAGGAAGCTATGTTGATGCTGCTTTTTTTTTTTTTTTTTTTTTTTTTTTTTTTTTTTTTTTTTTTTTTGCTTTATTTTTTTTTTCCTCCTGCTTGTCCCCAAAACTTTAGGAAACCATCTGGTATATTATGGCAAAGAAGGTGAAAGGCTGTGTTTGCTTTGAAAATGGCACTACCACAAAGGCAATGAGGGCATGTGCTGTATTCAGTTTGGCATCTTCCAGGAAATGAGAGTGCTGCTCCCTAAAGCCACTGTGAAAGGGGAAAGGCACTCAAAGCCCAAGGAGTATTTAGTCTACTGGCTTGCTTGCTTCTTGGAGCAAAACAGACACCTGTTGGGCTGATGCTGTTTTATACCATCAGAAAGACTGTTTGGATCTTTTGGTTAGTTTTTTTGTTGTTGTAGTCTTCCCTACCCTCTCCTTCGGCTATAGACAACTCAGGCTCTAAATTTCTCTTCTGCAGTCTTTAAGAAACCACTTTTTAGTCAAAAAGGTAACCACAGCATCTTAGGTGCATTGAAGATAGGAATTTCTAAGTATGCTTAAGCCAGCTTTCTACATCTTATTGTCTTTCTGAAAGAGTTAGGATTAGAAACTTTTTGAGGCAGCCAAGTAGTGCAGAGAAGGGATGAAGATGCAGGTAAGAGGAGAGGGATTGTCTTCATACTTTTAGAGTCAGTCAAGCATGATGCTGTTTTATTTTTGTCTCTGGCTTCTTTTATTTAGACATTATTCTTCCTTGCTCATTTTTATCTTTGAACATAATTGTATTTGCCATGGGACTTCTTTGTGTATCCATTCCTTGAACAATTTCAACAAGAACAACTCTGTAGGTACTACAGGTTTGTGGATTATCCTGCTGTGGGCTCAGACCTGCCTAGAGCCTGGCAGCGCTAATGCTTGTGGGTCACTGCAGTCTTCTTCATTGTGGTCTTGGCAAGAAAAGGGTAAAAGGGGGCATTATCAGGGCTATCTTCTCTCCAAGGCAGGTGAAGAAAATACTGTGGCTTTAAAATGAAAAATGAGATGGAAAAATGCTTCCTTCTCTCCAAAAGCTTTTATTTTGCTGACTCACAGAGCCTATTGTGTGAGGTAGATAGCTGGGTCTTTAAGTCTTTTATTTTAACTTCCTCTGTACATATCACAAGCCTGAATTTGTATTTTAGATCAAATGTGGCCAAAAAAGAAGGGATTTTTGTTTGTCCACTCTTCTCCAGCTTTCCATTGCCACCTGGGCCTGTCTTCCACAGTAGCTGTGGGGTTTTTTTTTGTGTCCAGGAACATGAAAAGTGCTGCATCTGGGCAGAAAGTGGCTGGAATTGCTATGGAAACTGACCTCTTCCTGCACAGCTTAGAAACTGTGTCACCATACTGCTTTAGAGAGAACCAGTACACAAACAGGTAGCTGATGTTTTCTGTGAAATGTTTACAGTTTCTTGGGGTGTTTTTTGGGAAATGCTCCTTGTCTGGCATTGTGGGATCTCCTTTGCCTGTCTCCTACTCCCCCCACTTCTACTGCAGGATCACAGGATATGGGCTCTGAATTTAGAACTTTGGCATGGGCAAGTGCATTGTCAGGAGAAGAGGAACGATAATGCCTTGTGTTAATTGGAATGAATGTGTCTGTGCTGTTGAGAACTGCAATAATCCTGTGTTTGTGGTGGTCTGAAAGCCATTTACATGAAAAATGAATTGTAAAGTCAAAAGTAATAACCTGACACGTTCTGAGAGGAGTAAGTACTGGAGGAAATGAAGGATTTCTACAGGATGTTAGAGAGTACTTTAATTCATATAGCATTTATGCTGAAATCTGAATGTATTTTATCAGCCTTAATGGTCCAAACTTTTCAGGAGATTAAAGCTTCCTCATTTAGGTCTACAAAGCACTTGGGTACCTTCTGAAAACTAGTAAAACTACCACAGGGGGAACTTGGAAAACCTAATTTTGTGGCCACTGAAGGTAGTGGCAACAATTAGCACTCTGGAAAAGACTATAATGTCTGTACTTCCTACAGGCTTCCCAAACCTTCTCATTCCATGGAACACAATGTTGAGATTTGCACAGAAGCTCAGATGATAGCTTGAACAATGCATTAGTAATACCAGTAGGCTCATGGGCTTGCCCTTGTCTGCTTTTGTAAGTAACAATAAATATTTCATTGTTGTATCTGTATTAAGTACTGACCCAAGGGAATTATTGCCCTTTTCCACCCCCTCCCTTTTTTTCCTGGGTACTACTGAAAGCAGTGTTTGAAACAAATAGGCAGCATTCCACTTTTCTTGCTCCTTTCTTCCACTCTCTCCCCCATAATCCCTTGGGTGTCTTTCCATTCCTATCATCCTCTACAGGGAAGTGCTGTTTCATTTTTAATCAGCTGCCTTGACCCCTAGATGGAGGTACACCCGAAAGTATGACACTGTCCTGCTGGTCAGTGCCATTTGGCTCACAATATGATGTCATTCCTTAATGCCCTGGTTATTAAGGCAGATGGGGCAGCCAGCCTGGGGGTTAGTCAGGTGGCAGGTGCTCACATGCCTGGAGGAGGTATAGCGGTGTTGGATTGTCATCGTATTCATTGTTCCCATAGCTAATGACCAGGTGGTAGTGACAGACCTTCTCATCCTTTCCCTCCCCACCCCGCTGTAGGGTTTTCTTCATATCCTGCTATTTCAAGCTAAGGTATAAAAATGGTTGGATTTTTTTTTTCTTGACATCAAAATTAAGATAAATTTTGAAATCTGTAAGGGATTTTATTGTCTTCTGCTAGGCTTCATCTTAGGATCTGCTAATATGGCTGTGACCTTAATACCTACACTAGTGAATAGCTTTCCCAACTGCACACTACTTTTTCTTTCCTATTCCACCTTTGTTTCTCTGGGGCAGAAGAGCAGGGAAGGAGTCAGGGAGGAGGTCAGTAAACCTCACAGCCCTGAGCTGACAGGAGTGCTTAATAGAAAACATGGGCAAAATTTGGGAGGGGAGGAAATGAAGACTTGAAAAGGGGTGAAACTTTTTACTGATGAGTTGGGAGAGGTAAGGCAAGGGAGTACTATTGAGACTGGGACAAGGGCTGGAGTTGGGACAGTTAGGGAGGCAAGGTGCAAAAATGAGGAAGCTCTCTCTTTGTCTTGGAGTGGGGAGGGGAATGAGCAGGGCAGGATCCCCTTCAAAGCCCTGTTCAAAGTGTGCAAGTCAGGAGTCTTACTGTGCATCTACTGCTAATACACCTGTGAAACACTGGCAGAGGGGAGGTCTCACCCTTCTCCATCAGTCATCAGGTTCTTCCCCCAGCTTGTGTAATGGGGCTCAGGTGAATTAAAAGTCTTGTTCTGCTGACAAGCCACTTGCCACTTTTCTTAAGCTGTAAGAGACCTCACACTAGAATTCCTGCTTTTGCCATTTGTTGTTTGCCTTAAAGTTAAGAACTTGGATGGGCATTTTTAAAGTT